ATGGCTTGACTTTGTATTTTTCTGCAAAACACTTCGATGTGATGTGTTGATTGTTTCTATTATCGGTCATTTTGTTGTCCCCGCATCTTGAGAATTTTAATGAGTTTAGTACGTGGATGTGAAAATAAAAGGTCGTTTCAAACGGCTTGTTAGTATCGCTACTCGTCTTGCCATCATATCAATTTTTGAGCAGCAAGAGTGTGTGCACTGTGCATTCGCACAGAAAACTGCGGCACCGCGCACATATTTTGCTCGAAAATATTGAATAAAATTAGCAAACCGAAAGAGAATCGCTCACTAACGAAACATTTCTTAACACTTGCACCGATGATGATACACGACACATGCATTCCAAAATGTTCATTCTTGATGCTTTCATTGATATGACATTTTGGGAATGTGATTTTTTTTGCGGGTATTCGTTGATGTTGTTTTTGATATTTAATTTTTGTTATTGTTGCCGTTACACTTCATTCGACCGGAGACATTTCATGCCAACGTGATGTGAATTTTTCTGTGTTGGAAACATTTCAATGATGATGACTCACACACACACTCCGTTTTTGGGTTGATCCATTTCTGTTACTCTTCGAAGACGAACCGATGATAAAAAGCAGAACATAAAATACAGTCGCGATTTATCACAGAGTTGCTGTTCATTATTCATGGAATCGTTGTCAAATCAAAAGATGATATTGATACGGGAAATTCACTTTTCGGATGCGAAAAACCCATTAGAAATCGAAACGAAATGGCTGCATCGATTGCAGCAATTCATCAAATGATGAGAAAAAAAAGTGTGCTGAAATCGCCAATAAATCTGAAACGAGCGAAATGCCCAAAAATGGCATTACTTTTTTTTATCGATGTCATTTTGATGGAACATGAATATAAATGTCAATGCTGTGTATATATTTTCTCCATGTTGCCTCTTCTGAAAAGAGAGATAAATTCAAGTTCAGCCATTATTTTTTCTTCGTCGAGTGAAATTCATACATATTTCAACACAATAACGGATATGAATACGAGGCTATCATTTATTTGCAACTTCCGATTTGGAATATACGTTATTCCTTTGTAATAGAATACGATGCTAGTTTCGGCAGCGACGGAGACTGGGAGAGCGGATCAAAGTCTCAATAATTTGGACAAAAAGCTATTGTGAATGCCGGATATGCGATGAATGGAATATGAAGTCAAAGATTGTGTCAAAGGTAAATTGCGTCCTGAAAACGAACGTCCGACGGAACGAGAAAAAAAACACAGACAAAGATCAAAATAATTCATTTTTTCTGTGTGTGAATTGTGTTTTTTCCCTTTCGGATCATCGATTTTACTCGTATGACACCACTTAAACTCCTGCTGTCAATTATCAAACAAATGACAGCTATCCTCCGTTTAGCTGTTGGAAATGGACTTGAAGAATTCGATGGGAATATGATTTTGAGCTCAAGATGAAAAAAAAACGATCAATTGTAACAATGAACTGAATTCCTTTCTCTTTTTTTTCTTCTTGCTTATTCATCGTTTTTATTGAGCTATTCGAGAAGTGAAACCTTTAATTCTTTTTTTCTTTTCGTTCGCGTTCATTGTTCCGGCATCGGAACAAACACAAGCATCGAATTCATTGTTGACTTTGCAGCCAAAGAAAACATCAAATGTTAAAACTGTCATTAGAAGATGCTCCGAATGGCATCAATATATCCCTTCAAACATTATTTAGACAGCAGGTCGACTTTTCTTTCACTTTCTCTTTCTCCGTCAAACCAACAACCAATTCTATTCTTGGCAATTGCATTCATTCTTCTTTTCAATTTATTTTTGGTAGTCGCGTCAATTCCTTTTCACGTAAGTAATGTGACAATATCTGTCAGTCAGTAAATAAATTGCCGTGGAGTCTCACACACACACATTGTTGTTCGGGTGTAAAGCAGGAAGCGTAGAGTTCATAAGTTATTGGAAACTGTTTGCGTATGTAAAATCGATTCTTTGTTGGTTATCTTCCAGTACCAAAGACGATGATGAAAAAAAACGACATGCCAGTCAGAGAGCATCAGTGTTATATGCACACAAATCACCCGAAAAAAAGGTGTACCGGATGTGCACTGTGTTTGCGTATTTTGTTCCAATACTTCATTGAACGACAGCGGAACAATAGCCGAAAAACAACCATGTCAAACGAACAGTATATTTGCAAAATGAAGATCCCGATATGGCCGTAGGGCTCACGGTCTCTTCCTGCATTTTTCTGCATTATTTATGGTTACATCTTTGTGCGCATTGAATTGTGAATATTGCGAGCATAGCGAAACACAAAGCAATGGAGAAGAACAGAGAAAGAATTGAATAGAAAACCGATATATGGAGAACGCAACAACACAGGTAAAAATGCGTAACAAAATGACATTTTCCACGTTAAATGTCACTCCGGTGAAAACCGTAAGATCGGCTTGTCATTGGCAGTTGTTGTCAATTGCATTCAATGGAGTTGGGCATTGAAGAGCGTGGCTAATTTCTTCTTATTCCTTTTCTTCTCTTTTTTCTTCTTCAATTAATACGATGAAAGAAGAGCGGTGCAAGGGAAGATGCAGACAGAGAGTGTGGAAAAAAATAGAAGTGTCTTGACATGTACGAGTCGCTAAATAGCCGGAATAAAATATGAAGTTTAAATCGTAACGGATACGCATTTGCAATGTTGATTCTATTACTTATTTAATGCGAAAGAATGCATTTAACTGCATCGAATTCCCATTGAATGGGCACACCAAGCCATCCATCGATGATGATAGCTGAATGTGTCTCTCTAATGTGATCAATGCAATAGAAAACCAAGCGTAGTTTGCATGCGTATGCGCGAAATAAAGTAATAAATTTGCGCGACGCTATAAATCGAACGAGCTGTCAATCGTATTCTCGCCCCGTGTTCCAACAATCCCAATGCCATGACGCCGAATGGCAAAATGTAGCAATTGTTATTCAACGGTAAGAGCAAAACGTGGAATAAGTGACATATCAACTTGAATGGTATGTATATGATCGACTCACCGCGCTCTCGACACCAACCAAACATAACACATCTCATTCACTTCATACAAACACTGCATAAAATATTCCAACGTTGTGTTTCGTTGAGGCTCCATTGGGCTGTCATAGCCGTTACTCGACCGTTGCTGCTTACCACTGCTGCCGATTCTTCCATCGAAATCGAATGGATAAGCACTTAAGCTGAAAATTGCTGCGTAATTTTGTTGATTCTTACAGATAGATGATCGAAATGCGAGCGATTTGAATTATTCAAATTAAAACACCAAGCCAAGTAACGCGCCAGAGAGCCAGAGAACGTATTATATAAATTGAACATTGAACAGTTCATTGTACTTGATTGATGTTTAAGAGTTCTTCCACGTCTCGAAAGGGAAAAAAAATAACGAAAAAAAAAATTCATAACCATTTTCCTCGTTTCATTCTCTCTCTCTCTCTCTCTCTCTCTCTCTCTCTCTCTCTCTCTCGCTTCATGTGTTTTTCAATGAATCAATAACGATGCGAATATACTCACAATTTGATTTGATGGCTAATTAATTCAGCATTGTTTCGTTTGCTTATGCAATTACCGATTTGTATTTATACTTTTCATCATCGCAGCAATTATTGAAGCAATTGCTATGCTCTTTACGAATGGGTCGATGTAAATCGATGGATGGTTGAAAAGAACGAAAAATACAACAGCCCAAACAAATTACTGCAAATTGTGCATTGTTTGATTACGAAATGGTATGGCAACGTCATTCATAGGTTAAATAAATTCCATCTCGATTGAAGCTTATGATTATCGCTCATTTTTATTTCCATTTCCAATTCTTCAACTCACACGAAACAATTTCACGTTTTGTGGAAACGAAATGAAGGGAATTTCGTGTCTTCATTTTCGTTGTTTTTTCTCTCTCTTTCTGTGTTGTTTTTCGAGCAACGACAACAAAACATGATCAAATAAATTCATTTCGGTGCTTAATGTCAATTCCACGATGTTCAACATAATAAAGTTATTAAGCTTAATGGCATCTCTCGAATTCTGAGAACATTTTTCTTCTTTTGTAAATCAACCAAATATAGAGAGAGAGAGAGAGAGAGAGAGAGAGAGAGAGAGAGAGAGAGAGA